GGCGCCCGCGCCCCGCTCCCTCCTCGGCGGAGAGGACAACGGAGAGGGAGTAAGCGGGCGGACAGCCAGCCGGACGGCCGGGGCCCCCCGGGAGCCTCCCAGAGCCGGACCCCAGAGCCCCAGCGCCAGGCCTGCCGGAGTCCCCCCGAGTCCACCTCAGGGAGCCCCACAATCCCGTTAGGAAACAACGGAGGATGGGGCTGAGCGCTCCAAGCCGGCCTCCCAAGGCTTGGCCCGGCGCTCCTCCAGCCTGGCCGGCCTGCCAGCTCTTTCCGGGACCCTGGCTGAGAGTCACCCACCTGCCCGGCCTTTCGGCGCTCATCTAAAAGGCTCCTCCGCCAAGACTAGGGGACACCAGGAATTGGGTTTGTTTGCGGTGCCTCAGAAGGGGCAAGATGGCGACAGGCATCAGAGCGCAGGCGCAGCCGCGCGCTGCCTGTCGGGAGTTGTAGTTCGCCTTTCCCGCCTTTGGGAGAGCGAACGCCAAAAGGCCTCCATTCATCCCGTCTCTCTCGCTTCCTCCGCGTTGTGAAAGAAAAGGACAGGCATCGCGGGGCGTTCCGGGAGTTGTAGTCCGAACCCCAGCTCCAATTGCTTTCGCTCCGGGTGTGCCGTCGCGCGCATGGAAGGCTGGGATTGTAGTTTCCTTGGCCTCTCTACAAACCCTCCTGTGTTGGGCTTCGCGCGCCTCTCCTCTGCTCCGTCTCCCAGCCAATCGGCTGCGCGCTCCGCTGCGTGTGGCGTCACAGGTAGCGGCCAAGATGGCGTCGGCAGCTGATACGGGGGCTTTGTGCCGACCTTTACTCTGATCAGGTTACGCGCGGCGAGAAAGCAAGTTCGTCCCTAAAGCGCCGTTGAGGGTTCGGGTCCAGTTCCTCAGAGTCATGGGAGCAATTATTAGCGGCCTGCAGGTCCCCTAGACGGAAAACTGAAGAGAGCTAATCCACGCCGCGAGAGCTGACACAGTGGACGTCGCAGTCGCCCGTACCCGATCTGCGGGTTATCTATCGAGTTGCAAGTAGAGAAAGGGAACCCGAACGTTCTCGACTTCGGGTCCCATTGCGTGGGAAGCGGGATTGGTAGTGGTATCTCGTGCTATGTCTGTGAAAGGCAAGAAGGAGAAGGGATTTGTTTGAGGCCCCACGACGTGGTAGGTTCACCCTCATCTTTGTTCTTATCCGTCTTATTTGCGGAGACGGTCTTGTCGCCCCTGTTACGTATAAGAAAAGGGACCCAATCTATGTTCACTCGCGGCTATAAAATCGAAGCCAGTGTCTGATGTAATTGAAGATTCCATCAAGTTTGGTGATTTTCCTCCAAACTTTGTAATTCAGATAACACCAGATCTGGTAGCTCAAGTCAAAAGTTTGTAATATGCATTCTTGCTATTATCATACACTCCTTCTTGAAAAATGGGGTTAGGAACTACCTTATAGGAATGTGGTGATACACAACAAAGATAAAAGTGATTAAGTTGTGAACCACTATACAAACGTATGAGACTGTTCATTTTCTTAAATGGAGCCGTAGGGTTAGGAAGACAAAGTAAATAATAGCATTTAAGTTTCCTACCACTATTTGCCCATTAGCTAAAAATGCTCTCCGAGGTCCCCGAAAGTTATTGTTGAAACCCAAACTTCCACCTTCAGATAATGTTGAAGTGGGACATACCAATCTCCACGCTCTTCCAACTCTCCCACCCTGATCTTCCTTCCAGTGCATCTCGTTTTGAGGCCAATTGCTTAAGAACTCTTGAAAAGATGATAAATGAAACCTTAATAAAAGACTTTGTAATTTAACATACAGTCTTTGATTTGAGTCTTACAACACCTCAGTGAGGCAAGTATAATTAAGGTCTCTTATCCTGTGAATGAGAAAAACATTCACAAACTCGCCCAGTTAGAAATTGGAAGACAGCTGGACTTTTGACCTCCAAGTATCCTTTCCTCTACAGTGAATGTCAAAATGGCAGGTAATGGAGTAGAGATGGAAACACAAGAGGCCTATAAAACCAATCCTGCCCATAAGAAGTAACATGAGTATTGAATTATTATTGTTAATCCTTGTGCTTACAGGATGTCAAGTTCTGTTCCAAGCATTTTACATACTAGTTTAGTCCTTTGAACAGCTCCAGGAAACGTAGTAACGAAATGAGAGTCATCCTACACTTAACCAAAGAAGAAAAACTCAAACATTATCCTATTAGACATGAGTAATAACTACCTCTAGTCTGGGAAAATGTATGGTAGTACAATACCTGTATCAAACTTTATTCTGTTAACTAAGCAGAGAAGTCTTCAAACAGGTTGCCTACCATCTACCATTTTAATTTTGTAGTGCTGTCGTGGAGAAAGTAGATCGTACCATTATCAGGAAAGTAAGTGCTAAACTCTATGGTATTATATAGGTAGGCAAATTGAAATGGATAAGACCTTAGGGATTTAAGTGAAAAAAATATCATAATAGTGTAAGAAATGGATTGGCAATAGTGAGACACTGCCAGGGAGGTGGGGGGCACATAACATCAATAAGGGTACCCACACTTTACCTGTATGGTCACGTATGTATGTAACCCTCATTTGTACCCCACATTTTAAAAATAAAATAAAATAATTAGCCAGGCTCGGTGGCTCAGCCTGTAATCCCATACTTTGGGAGGCTGAGATGAGTGAATTGCATGAGCCCGCAGGTTCGAGACCCGCCTGGGCAAGTTGGCGAGACCTCATCTCTACAATAAATAACAAAAATTAGCCGGGTGTGGTAGTGCACGCCTGTAGTTCCAGCTACTTGGAAGGCTGAGGCGGAAGGATCACCGGAGCCCAGCAGGTTGAAGCTGCGGTGGCCGCGAGCATGCCACTGCACTCCAGTCTGGGCGACAGAGTGAGACTCCAACTCAAAAATAAAAAATAAAATAATTATTTTTAAAAAACTAAAGCAAGTTAACCAGATTCATACAGAGTTGTCATGGCAGGGCTGGGACTGGACTAGCAAGCAGCCCTTTTGGCTTAAAGGCTGCCGCTCTTCCCACTGTACCACACTGCCTTAGATACTTGCCTTCAGGAACTATTACCACACTGACGTAGCCAAGGTGGTTACTAAAAACAGAACTTGCAAGGCAAGTATGTATACTATCAAATATTAGATCAAGATAAGTAAGTTTAGGAGACAGGAAAGATGGAAGGAAAGTAAACTAGAGATAACTGATGTTTATGTGCCCAGGCTCAATGGCGTATCAGAAACACTTCTGAACAATCTAGAACAGCTTCAGAGAGGAAGTGAAAGATCTGGCCACTGCTTTGTCAACTGCCTTCATTAATTATCCTCACCGTCCATAACATTCTGAAGATTCTCCTTCCTAAATAGTTGATCTTATTGTAGTGGAGCGGTAATGGGGTCACACCACCTCTGCGGAATGGACCTATTTACAAACACTCTTCCTCCAAAGGAACCTCTGGACATCCCTTGCCCAGTACATCACAGCTCACTGCAGCCTCCAACAGCTGGGCTCAGGTGATCCTTCCACCTCAGCCTCCCGAGTAGCTGGGACTACAGGCATGTGCCACCATGCCTGACTAATTTTCTTTTTGTTGTTGTTTTTTTTGTAGAGATGGGGCCTTGCTATGTTGTCCAGGCTGGTCTCAAACTCCTGAGCTCAAACAATCCTCCAGCCTTGGTCTTCCAAAGTACTGGAATTACAGGTGTGAGCCACTGTGCCCGATCAGACTGAGCTTTCCAAAATTCAAAACTCATCTTGGTTCCCTGCTTAAAACTTTCCAGTGGCTCCCAGTTGCCAACAGAATAAAGTTCCATCTTTTTTACAAGCAGATCCATGCTAGTACAAAGAAACTTTCTTACATATCTAATCTCTTAAAACACTGCTGTCACATCTTTATCTTGTCTGAAATCTGGCATTTTCCTTAAGTTCACTGCTTCCCATGAAGTCTTTTTCAGAGGAGTTTCTTTTCTCCCACCTTCAATATCTTGAGCCAAGAGTAAAAGCTGGCATTCTCCTTTCTTGTCACTACAACTTCCAGACCAACTACCCCTGCATTGAAGCTTCTGCCATCAGGCCATGCAATTTCCATTTTACTGTCATTCTTCCATCACTCCTAGGGGAAGAATTTTTAACCATCTGCTGTCATCAGTTTAGATTGCCCCATTGTCCATTCTACCCTTGTACTCACCAGTGTAAAACCGTTCACGACCGCTGCCAGTCGACCACCCACTTCTGTGAACATGATCGGCTCTGTGTTCTGAACTGTTGCAACTCTGACGCCAATAACCAAGGCCTTTCCACATTCTGAATAGAACTTCCTTTTATTCCAGATGCCTTACTCCTTTACCCTCACCAAACCTACTTTTCAATTTCAGTGAAACCTGTAGGCTTAGTTTTCAGGTTCTCCAGGTTTGTTCTCCTTTGCTGGATTTACTTTCCTTCCTGGACCCCATGGTCATTTATTTCAAACTCACTCCCTATTAGCACTTTAAAGTTCGTTCAACCATCTCTGTCCTTCCATTGACCCTAAAACAATCTTCAGCCTTTGATCAGTTTCTCCCCTACATCACTTCCATGATGATACAGCTGTTAAACTATGAGTGCATAAGAAATCATCCCAAACTTTAGTAGCTCAAAACAAGTGTTTTATTTTTTATTTCATACAGTCTTTGCAGTTCCTGTTGAAATCAAGAGTGACTTAACTGGGTGGTTCTGGATTGGGGTCTCCTAAGCAGTTGTAGTCATCTGAAGGCTGACTGGAGCTGAAGGATCAACTTCCAAAGTAGCTCACTCACATGGTTGGCAAGTTAGGCAAGAGGGTCTCAGTATCTCATTTTGTGGATCTCCCTGTAAGACTGCTTGAACATGTTCAGGACATAGTAGCTAGCTTGCCCCAGAGCAAGTGACCCAAAAGAGAGAAGCATGTAGAAGCCACAATGTTGCTACCCATCGAAAGTAGACTAGATTTTTTAAAATGTGGTACATATACATGATAGAATATTATGCAGCCATAAAGAAGGACAAAATTATGGACTTTGCAGCAAATTGGATGGATTTAGAGTCTATCCTACTCTGATCTATCACAGAAACAACTGAATACCATATGTTCTCACTCATAAGTGGGTCCTGAACATTTATCACAATACTACAAGAGGGAAATCGGCAATAGCGGGACAATGCCAGGAAAGGGAGGGAAGGAGGGGCATATGACATCAATAAGAGTGCCTGATCATAAACCAGGGGAAGTGAGGATCAGCGGGAGACTCAAACTTCACCTGCACATAGACCACTTATGTACCTAATCCTGACTTGTACCCCACATCTTGCAAATAAGGGGGGGAAGCCACAATGTTACAGTGCGCAGAGATTGATATAAAATAAAATTACATCTGTGTGTATAAATTTGTATAATACACACATACCCTGAAGAGGAGTTTGTACAGAGCAGTAAAGCTAAAACAACTTGATGGGAATAAGTTGAAATGATATTATGTAGCATTTATTGAC